AAGGAGTCTGCTCGAATGAATCGGGCAAAGGACCATGGCACCGACACATCCATCTGATCGGAGGCATTGCTAGGCAGGCAGCGGTATACCCACCGCAGCTTGTGAAGGCAGTACTAAGGAGCCTGCGTGACACGCTAGCAGAAAAAGGTGAGTTGAACACCTTCGATCTGTTTGCAGCAGGCCCAGTTCCGGAGATGCCTCTGATGGACCCAGAGTTTGAAGAGGTATACATGGATGATATTTTGCCAGCCGAGAAAGTGAAAGAAGCAAGACGCCTTGAGATGGATTATTTGAAAGAAAAGCCTGGTGTTTATGTGACCCGGCCGAGAGCCGAATGTTTTGAGGAAACGGGGAAGCCCCCGATTCCAGTCAGATGGTTGGACACCAACAAGGGAGATCCGACCAACCCAAACTATAGGAGCAGATTAGTTGTGCGTGAGATAAAGGCAAGAAAGACCAAAGAAGAACAATTGCCAGCCAACTTGCTTTTCAGCAGCACGCCCCCATTAGAGGCGATGAGACTGCTGTGCTCGTTGTGGGCAACAAAGAGAAAGTCCTGCCACAACCAGCCGCTGAAGCTGGGCTTGTGGGACATCTCACGAGCACACTTTTATGGAACTCCAAAGAGAAAGATCTACATAGAGCTGCCGCCTGAGGACGAAGCCAGCAAAGAGGGACAAACCTGTGGACTTCTCGTGAAGTCGATGTATGGAACACAGGACGCTCCAAACATCTGGCAGACGCACTATACAGAGACTCTGCAGAAGGCTGGCTTCCGCAGAGGGTTGTCAAATGCGTCAGTCTTCTACCAAGAAGCTTGGGATGTCAGAGTAATGGTGCATGGAGATGACTTCCTAGCACTTGGAGACGCCCAACACTCGGAGAAGCTCAGCCAAGTCCTCAAAGATGCCTATGAGCTGAAATGCCTCGGAATTCTTGGAGACGAGGATGGAGACCGAACAGAAGCTCATGTTCTGAATCGGTTAATCTGAGTTGAGAAGAAGAACGGCAAAGGATCGATTGTGATCGAAGCCGATCGGAGACATGCTGATCTTTTGATCCAGGCATTTGGTCTGGAAAAGGCAAATGGTGTAGAATCACCAGATGTCAAGAAGTCGGCAGGATGCTGACCACGGTGGAGACGCTGTGACGCGCAAAAGCACGACTGGCATGGTTGCTATGTACGGCATGCACGTGTTAAAACACAGCAGTAACATCCAATCCACTGTAGCCCTTTCCACAGGTGAGAGTGAGTACTATGCACTTGGGATCTGTGGGCTTAGGCCTCCAAAGCCTATGCGCAGACCTTGGTTTGGATTTAGGAGTCACCATCGAGGGCGATTCCAATGCAGCCAAAGGAACAGTAAACAGAGTGGGTTTGGGTAAAGCCAGACACATCCAAACTCGCTACCTATGGTTGCAAGAAAGGGTCGCCGAAGGCCACTTGAAAGTGCACCACGTTCCAGGTGTCAAGAACAAAGCCGATGTGTTGACCAAATCGGTACCTGGGGTGCAGCTTCGCAAAACCATGGAAGACCTGCAATATGCATTCCTCAGCAAGCGAAGCAAAGGACAGTTAGATGTTTTGGAGTAAGGTCCCTGGCCAAGCTCCACTACCACAACTGAAAGTGGCTAAGCAGCGAAGAGTTTCACATGTTTTACTTTAAGCTTGCGCAGCAGTACAGTGCTTTGCAAGAGGAGGAGTGTTTGTATGTACAGCCCATATATACTCCGCTATAGGTACTGCAGACACGTGACTCTTGACGTGTTTTGGCTCAAGGGAAAAAGGCGTTCCGAAACGTCGAAACTTTATTTTCAGAATATATGTATATGCTACCCCCCCGTGAGACCTACCTTTTCGGCCTTGGAAGGCATATTGCGAAGCCAATAGCATGTTGCAGAAGCACCTGAACCTTAGATAATACTAAAAGGTAATTTACCTGCGTTGTTGTGTTTGTGTGTTTCAGTCCTTATGTTCTGTATTATTGTAATATCTCCTTGATTGTTTGGCTCTACAACTGTCGCAGGTTTTAAACCCTTCAGTAAATCTCTCTATTGCTCTGTTATTCTGACATCCTTTGCAATGCTGTTTAGTAGTATCCATTACCTAATATATACTCTTTTTGAACTACTATTACATCTATGACATTAAGAAATACAGTTGATAAACTACATTGGTTGGTTACATTGAGCATCCAAGGGTTCATGGGCATGAATGTAACCTTGCTTAGGTATGTCTCATTTGCCCTTTCTATCCTGTTTTTTCTTTTTCATCCTCCCTATTAAAAAGCTTGTGATACATTGTTCATTAACTTAATTTTCAGTATCATCACGGTATTAAGAAGGAACACTTACTGTAACTCCACTTCAATCCCTAGCTCCTGTGATTGCCGTCCAAAGCCGCTCCTTATCGCGAAGTGGTTGTAATCAAAGATAGTAATATCACCATCTATACTACTACCTTGGGCTGAATGACAAGTTAAGCAGGAAACAAATAGGAACTTTTTCCAAATATGATCGTTGTGCAAACCCTTGACCTCCTGACTTTGAATGTTTTTCTACAGACAAATATGTATCACGTACTGCTACCAGTATCCTTTGCAATACTGTTTAGTAATATCCATTGCCTAGTGTATATGTAGCCCAGTATTTTTTGCTTACTCCAACAGTTTTTGATAAATATTTATCTTTCTTAACACCTCTTTATTTACTACTATCACATCTATGACAGTAAGCAATGCAATTGATACACTACCCTTTTTCAAATCTATTCTAACTCCACATCGACATATCTTTTCCATAAACCATTGGACATTAATATTCTATTTTACATTTTCTATCCTGTACTTCATGTTGTTCAACCTCCTTATTAAATTAACTTGGGATACATTGTTTATTAAATTCATTTTCAGTAGCATCTCTGTATTTATGAAAACTTGATTCTACTTAAATCCCTAGCTCGTGTGATGGCTGTCCACAGTCAGGCTCTATAATTTCTTATCAGTACTCTCTGCAGCTTAGCCTTTCTTGTTTTTCGTTTATTTTCTATTTTTTAGTTTCCTAATTTCATTAGATACATTTTTGCAGGTGTTATTCAGAAAGGCAATGTTATACTTAGAGCAATTGATGTCAGTTGTATATGAAACATATTTCCGACCGGTTTTTGTAAACGAAAAGTCTTTAAGAAGAATGACATATTTCATGTTATACATTTTGGTTCTATCATATTCTCAAGCTTTGCATTTCAATTGGTTTCAGGAAACTTTGCAAACTTTGCACAGTTTTTGGGATTCCAGATTGAAGATTCTGGGGAATAGTTCTTGAATCCAAGCACTAACTGACATCCAGAAGCCCAACATTCGAGGGCTTGGATTGGATTCAAGAACTTTTCCCAGAATCTTGAATCTCGAATCTTGAATCCCAAAAATTGCAAAATTTGCAACGTTTACCCATTTTTCAGGATTCAAGATTCTGGGGACAATTTCTTGAATCCAAGCTCTGACTGACATCCAGAACCTCAACATTTGAGGGCTTGGATTCAAGAACTTTTCCCAGAATGTTGAATCTTGAATCCAGAAAAATCGTGACATTTGCAAAACCTGCAAATTCAACGTGCTTACACACCTTTTGGGTTTCGACATGTGTGTGTATGCAATATGTAATGTGTGTATATAATATATATATATATATGGCACCCCCGCACTTCCTCAATATATGACCCCACAAAATTACCTGAAATATGCAGAATTCACTGTAAATACAACTGAAAAGTGCAATATATATAGAATCAACCGGCTGTGTGTGCTTTTGAGACAAGGTGTCGGTGCAACTGCCGTTTGTGTGAGTGGTGTTTCGGGTGTCTCAAACTATATGGACGCTTTGGGACAGGGTGCCGGTGTGGTTTGCTGTCCGTGCAAGTGCGGGTGTCTTTGGAACTGCGTGGACGCTTTGGACACAGGGTGGTCGCAGGTGCTGTCCCTGCAGGTGCTGTTCCGGGCCTTTTGGACATCGTGCTTGTGAAAGGCAACACTGCTTTGTTTGCACCTATCTTTTTGTCCGCATACTTCGATGCGCAAGAAATCATACTTGCTAGCCCAAGCAGCATGCAGAGGAGTGGTGTTTTGCTGTTTGCTGCGTCGCCTCTTCGTGGCTTTTGCAACGGCTGCTTTGCCTTTGCCAGATGGTTTTTGAGAATGGCAATACAGTTGTGCTCGCTTACTTGTATGCACACAACATCATGCCTGTTATCAGGGCATTTGCTCCAAGCAAATTTGTTTAACATGTTGTGTGGCATGAGACTGCAAGGGTGGTGTGTTGCTTGTGGCGGTGGCCTTGATTCGTTGCCTTTCTTTGCACTTGCATTTGTTCTACTCTCTTGGTATGGCAACCACGAAACCCAGTTTAAACAACCTGACGCTGTTTTGCACATTTTGGTTTGACCTTACTATGCGGGGCCGTTCTCGTGCAATGTGAGAAGACCACTATGAGTTACAGCAAATCATACACGAGTCAAACAACAAGTCCCACGAATCTGGCAACAAATCACTACCACAGATTCTCCAAGAAATAAGGATCACTGACCACCGAGCATGAATCAATAGAAATCGCAGCCAGCCCAAAATTGTTTTGTACTTCACCGGAGCCAGAGATAAGAAGAACTCAAATTAGCATCAGGATTATCCACAAGTATCTTGCAGGAAACCTGTGATGTCAGAAATGTTTTGTACACATAGTAGCATTACCAGCATCATAGGTGATTCTCCTTTCTAGACCGTATGTTTAAGTGTAATGTAGCTAACTTAAATGCGCCAGAGATTTGCTCATGTTTTGGATTGTTGCTTTCCTTCCGTGTGGTCCCTTCTGGATTTCATATTTTTGCGCAATTTTGTGTTTGCCCTGTGGGGGTTGTTTTGACAGGTGCTTCATATGACATCGGTTTTTCTTCCTAAACTCGCTTGCTTTCAATTCTCCCTTGCTTCCTGAGCTCGATTGTCTCCAAGGAACTTGATATCCATCGGGGATGGAGATGCTGAGCGTGCTGCTAGCCTAAGGCTGCAGGCGTGCCAAATATGGATAACCAGATTCACTTCTCTGACTGCAGAGTTGCACCTCCAGGCACCAGAGCGAAAAGGATCATTTGGCGAGATCCTCAGAAGCCATTCTTTGAGGGTTGGTTTTGGAAACGGCAACTTGATCAGGTGAGGAAAGACAACGCGTCAAATCAGCTTAAAGCTTAGTTTTTGGATTTTGCTAGAGACAGCAGAAGAGTGCGACGGAGAAAGTATAAGTTCTTCAAAGAGGATCAAGCAGTGTCTGAGGTGAAGCTCATCGAGCTTCCGACATGTCAGCAATTGATAGTCCAACACGAGATGTTGCAGGCATGGCGGTCATGCAAACTCAGGAAAGGTTTGGTTTCCATGTTGCTGTTGTTCGACACACTAGTGGAGTGAGTGGAGTGAGTTGCGACACCTTCAGTTCAGGTGCGGCTTCCAGATGTCACAGCTTTCCTGGGATGTTTGGACCTGAAATCTCGCTTTCCAAGCAGCAGCTCACCCGGCAAGGCGGATGGATTGCTGTCTGACTATAAAGGTCTTGTGTAAGTCTGTCTTGTACAGTGGTAGCGCTTGTTCTTTGCTTCTTTATCTTCTTTCCGTGCAGTTCCCGTCTTTGCGCACAACGACCCATTTCGTGACAGCTCGTTTTGGACGATCTCCTTGGCTGAAGGAAGCATTTGCAAATAGATGCAAACATAAGAGGCATTATGCGGCACAACAGATGATGAGATGGACGGCAAAGTATGATTACCTAGTATGACTTGAACTCCCGGTTCTGTGGACTTTCCTGAGATGAACAACCACACACATATATCAAGATGAACAGCTGTTCAGCTGAGTTGTTTGTTTTTGGCATCGAATTAACACTATTTTCATATCATCATATCAAACAAATCGATGGCTGGTCTGCATGGAGCTCCGCAAGGCTTCAAGTTCGAAGTCAAAGTTCTCCATAAAGCCATATGCATTGTTTGAGGAATCTCCAACCATTCTAAAACCACCAGGCTGCAGATTCCTTGCCTTCATGGTGGGACCGATATTGTCACCTCCAGCCGCTGGCCCAGAGACGTTGACTTGATGCAAATGGAGACTGACAAAGCAAAGGCACACCTACGGAACCTGTTCGCTCGCTGTACGCCTGAAGGCGGGCAGCAGCAAGATGAACTTTGACACGAAAAAGGTTATATAAGGCTTCACAGTAGATTCACTAAATTCAATGTTTCTCATCCGATGAAACATGTTCAAGGCTTTGGGCCTGCGAGGGGCAGATATAAGTTCTTTGCTGTTGGCGCTGCGGGGCTTCATCGCAGAGCTCTGAGTTTATATGCAGGTTCTTCATGAAGGCTTAGAGGTGTGGCATTGGGCAAACGAGGTACTGTACCTATATAGAAAAACCATTGGACGCCCTTTTGTTCCAAACTTTGTGCAGAACCACACAGAAGGCCAAGCTTGTGGTTTGTCAGATCCGTGTGTCTACGCTGTTTGGCCAATTCCTCCAAGAGAGTATAGACAATTGAGGCTCGGTGTGTTGATCCTTCCATAGAGCTTGCTCTGGAGCTGAGCCCTCAGCACAAAAGAAGAGAGCAACACTAGCAGGTCAGTGTCTTTTTGAGGAGTGTTTCAGTTGTTGCAGCGTATGGCAGGCTTGATGCTTCGGAGAATGAGCTTTCTGACGAGGTGACCATTTTTCGTTGGTTGATCCTGATCCTGAACGATGTTCGTTTTTCTTTCCCAGATAGCTGGAAACTATGGCATATATGGGTTCTTACTTATCCTGGAAGCCAAGATTTTGATCACTACTTTTCGCCTTGAAACCAAAGGAGCAGTGTGCAGTTTTCCCAGAAAACCTTAAATGCACAGTGCGAGGGCTTCTTCAAGGAAGCACCCCCCGCAATGAGGCGGGGGGAGCTTCCTTGAAGAAGCCTAAACTTTCCGTCCGGGAGCCTAGTAGCTTCTCAAGCTGCTACTTACCCCTTACTTAAGCTACTAGCGGTTTCTGCCTGAAACGGCGAAAACACAACTTTCTGCGAAAAAAACGACTCTACAGCGCCTTGTGGCCAGCGTAGCTGTCCCGTGATCCCGATCGCAGCTTCTCCTTTCACCCCGGTCTAGCCTCTAGTTTTCTCCATGCTATCTGGGGTGCTCGAGCCCCTAGTAGCTTCTTGTTCCTAGTAGTAAGGCCAGGAGCCCCTAGTAGCGTCCTTGCTCCTAGTAGCGCTCCTAGTAGCGATGTCAGGAGCCCCTAGTAGCTTCTTGTTCCTAGTAGTAAGGCCAGGAGCCCCTAGTAGCATCCTTGCTCCTAGTAGCGATGCCTCGAGCCCCTAGTAGCGTCCTTGTTCCCAGTAGTAAGGCCAGGGGCCCCTAGTAGCGTCCTTGCTCCTAGTAGCGATGCCAGGAGCCCCCAGTAGCTTCTTGTTCCTAGCAGTAAGGCGAGGAGCCCCTAGTAGTAGCTTCTTGTTCCTAGCAGTAAGGCCAGGAGCCCCTGGTAGCGTCCTTGCTCCTAGTAGCGATGGAGCCCCTAGTAGCTTCTTGTATTAGTAAGGCCAGGAGCCCCTAGTAGCGTCCTTGCTCCTAGTAGCGATGCCAGGAGCCCCTAATAGCGTCCTTGCTCCTAGTAGTAAGGCAAGCAGCCCCTAGTAGCTTCTTGTTCCTAGTAGCGATGGAGCCCCTAGTAGCTTCTTGTTCCTAGTAGTAAGGCCTGGAGCCCCTAGTAGCGTCCTTGCTCCTAGTAGCGATGGAGCCCCTAGTAGCTTCTTGTTCCTAGTAGTAAGGCCTGGAGCCCCTAGTAGCGTCCTTGCTCCTAGTAGCGATGTCAGGAGCCCCTAGTAGCTTCTTGTTCCTAGTAGTAAGGCCGGGAGCCCCTAGTAGCGTCCTTGCTCCTAGTAGGGATGTCAGGAGCCCCTAGTAGCTTCTTGTTACTAGTAGAAAGGCCAGCTACTAGGGGTTCCTAGTAGCGATGCCAGGAGCCCCTAGTAGCTTCTTGTTCCTAGTAGCAAGGCCAGGAGCCTTGCCAGGAGCCCCTAGTCGCGTCCTTGCTCCTAGGCTGCGATGCCAGGAGCCCTAGTAGCGTCCTTGTTCCCAGTAGCGATGCCAGGAGCCCCTAGTAGCGTCCTGAGCCCCTAGTAGCGTCCTTTCTCCTAGTAGCGATGCCTGAGCCCCTAGTAGCGTCCTTGCTCGTAGTAGCGATGCCAGGAGCCCCTAGTAGCTTCTTGTTCCTAGTAGTATGGTCAGGAGCCCTGGAGTGTTCTTGCTCCTAGTAGCGATGCCAGGAGCCCCTGTCTATTATGTGGAATCTTTGCTTTTGTCTGTTTAGTTTGGGCCTGCCGTAAAGTCTTCCAATTGATACTCTAAACAGGCCGGCGTGTGCCTCATTTCCGGTTTGCAAAGCCTCAACGAGGGCCGTACAGGCACAGAAACAGCCCGAGATACCTGCGAAGCGGAATTGTGAAGTACTTTTGAGAATCTAAGTACCAGTACTTGCAAAAACAATCCGGGGTTGTTATTCCTTTGCCAATGGAAACCTGAAACGATGCCCACACCCAACTTCTACAACCGCAGAGATGTTGTCCATCACGCAAGTCCATGGCCAATGGCAGGGCCATTCCGCTTGCGAGTGCTGAAACTACACAAGAACAAGGCTCTGGAGATACTGGGACGTAAAGGCATATTATTCTGAAACTACTCAATGCTGCAATGCTGCATTCCTCTTGCACAAAATGGATGTGTGTTTGATTAACAGGTCGGAGATGACACTTGTGAGATGCTTGCGGGCTTGCTGTGGAATCAACCGAAGCCAGTTGAGGCTGGCTTGAAACCAGGAATGCAAAATCCTGTCACATCTCCTTTCGTGCTTTTGTTGAAGGATTCTACATATTTGCTGTATATAGTAGGCGGTGCCGTACGCCAATGGCCGATGCAGGAGATCCACCTTTCGCACAATATGGTGCAGCAGAGAGGTTTGGTACTCAGTGTTGAATCTAGAGATCGCAGAAAGTTCAGCGAATGCGTGCCTTTGTGTTGCATGGATTGACTCAGGATTGACTGCCATTCTGGTTGCTATAGCGATGCACCCAGAGAAGGCACATGATGGAGATTTCCCGCAAGTGCGCTTGATATTTGTGACTTTGTCTTGTGAAAGGCATATCCAAGAATTGCCCCCGGTGAGGCAGGCGCTTTGCAGTAGATTGCCTGCAAATCAGAAGCGTCAAGCGGTCTTGTGCATTGTGCAAGGATGTGCCCTGCTGGGTTCGTTTGGAGCACAATCGAGCGCGTTTCTGAGTTCTGATTTGCATTGTCTCATTCTTGTGAAAGCATTTTCAAACATTTTGTTGGACAGGTGTCACATGTTGAGCACATCCTGGATTTGCTCCGCAAGGAAGCTTTTTGGGCTTTGTTTCAGTCATTCTCAGCTGGGTGTCACTGGCTGAACACTTGGAAGGAGCCTGTGCAATTGCGGATATGCATGGCACCTCGCAAAGAGAAAGGGCCCAGCTGCACTTCGTTCCGCTGTCAGGCCAGTCCAATCATTCTTGACTGGCAGCATGTGTTACAAGTTTTTGAGATAGGCGATTGACAATGTTGCGCATGTTCACCTCTACTGTGTGGACAAACAGGCCGGCATTTCAGCTGCAGAGGCTTTCAGAGTCCAGAGTATTCTCGTCCCTCGCAGGATGGTGAGGGCGAAACGCGAAAGCATGCTGAGGCCGAAGCATGATCACTTTTGGGCACTTTTTACCGGCTAGGTACGGTTCTTACTCTTGCACCAATCTTTTTGGATTTGTAAAAACTTATGCGTCCTTTAATTCAACATGGGTTTCTTTTTGGCAGGCTTTGGTGCAGATGTTTCAAAGGGGCCGTTCCCTTCGGGACACGAAGACGGACATGGCGGTGACAGCGACCACATCCGTGACGGCAGAGGTTGCGACCGCAGACGCGGGTGCGACCAGATTTGAGGAGCTCAAGGTGGGCAGATTTTGAGCTTTTTCCATGTATATATATACATATGTACCTATACCGGCTTAACTGTAGTTATAAATGTTGTGATTATATAATGTTGTTCTGTTTTGAAAAGGTGGTAGGGGGTAGTAAGCTTGGTCAACGTAGGCTGCTGACATGAAGCTACATTCAAGGAAGCAGAAAAACCTTTCGCATGATTGAAAAGGGTTCTCAAATTCAGAGTGAAATCAAGATATATACAAAAAACATGTATTGGGCTTGCTGCCAAGCTCTTTTGTTCGAGTTTGGGGAACGCACACATTGCTCGAGGTGGACCCTGAGTTGGGTGCTGGATTGGATCTGGCTGCTGATCCATACGGCTATCTCGTAGAGGGCGTAGACGAAAAGCCAGGGCAAAGGTTGAAAGCTTACTGCTGAACAGAAGGTCTTGTTTTTGACATCAATACAACAACCAACATTCTATAACTAAACTGACTTCATACAAAAATGAGACTAAGGCTCAACGCAGGTGAGGTGATCCTGGAGATTGATGGAGTCCAGCTGGGCTCTCA